TTCAGAGCAACAGCAAGCAAGAGATCAAAAGAGAGCACTAATGCTAGAAGCCAGTCTTTGTAATATCATCTGGGAAGGTACACGCCATGCCTTTGCAGCATTGCATTTGTTAGTGGTCCCAAAATCCAGCCCAAACTCAAGGGCATAAAGCATAGGAGATGGGGATCCCAGGGCAGGGGCATGGGTGGGGGGTAGATCCTGCAGGCTGCCTAGCACATATAATCTCTAAAAACATAAATATGTATCATATAAATCTATCAAACTTATTAGCTATTGTTATTTTATACACTTCCCCCGTATCTGCAAAGTACACACTTTCTATTTTGCTTGTTTTCTGACGGGTAGAACGGGGAGATGGAGATTTCCTGCCCACGGTGAATATCTAGTATTTGTCCTATTTTGCTTGTTTATAGCCAGTGTCACAGTTATTTAAATTTTGTTGTTGTGGGTTTCAGGAAACTTAACAGAATTCTGAAGCTGGATCGAGCATCGTTCATCATTTTACATTTGTGTCGTCAAGAGAGTGCGGGGGTATGATGCAAGACCACCAGGGCCAGCAGACTCACCCAAACCAAAGTGATGGGACCCAAGTACTAATCACTGTAGATATAAATCACATGTATCACATGCACTGACTTTACAGCCTTCCTGCCAAGATTCCTTTGTTTCTAGACTAACTGTTGCCCAATTTCTGGGGCTATTTCCTTTTGCTCTAATTCCCCTTAGATCACTTCACTACATTGACTACTTGTTTCACTTGCTATACTCCTTGTGTATACTCAAACTACTTTCTTCTCTAGAATTCTACCCTTTACTTCTTTACACTTGACTCAGTTTTTGAAAATTTTTTTAAAGGTTTATTTGAGAGAGAGAAAGGGAGAGCATGAACAGGGGTCGGGGCAGAAGGAAAGGGAGAAACAGACTCCCAGAGGAGCGGGGAGCCCGATGAGGGCCTGGATCCCAGGACGCTGGGATCATGACCTGAGCCGAAGACAGAGGCCTAACTGCAGAGCCCCTCAGGCACCCCAGTTTTTGGAAGTTTCTACGTGGAAATCGCAAGTTACAATTTTAAGTCATCATCTCAACTCAATTCAAATGGCCAAATTTTGACTTTTCAGTGCTAATCATAATATTGGCCAGAGATGAGTAAGACCTCACCTCTGCAATCAAGGAACGTGGTCTAATCGGGAATAGAAACATGCAAATGAAAGAATACAACAGTGTTGATGACATCATTATAAAAACAAAGAGGTAGCTCAGTAGAGAGAATGATAAGCTCTTTGGATGCAGGGGCACCTGGCTGGCTCAGTCAGTAGAGCATGTGACTCTCAGGGAGGTGAGTTTAAGCCCATGCAGAGCATACTTTAAAACAAAAACGGGGCACCCAGGTGACTCAATTGGTTGAGCATCTGCCACGGGCTCAGGCTGTGATCCCAGGGTCCTGGGATCAAGTCTCACTTTGGGAATCTCTGCTCAGTGGGGAGCCTGCTTCTTCTTCTCCTTCTGCCGCTTCCCCCCGACCCCCCACCACTCATGTTCTCCCTCTCTCTCTCTCTCAAATAAGTAACATCCTTAAAAAACAAACAAAAAATAAAAATAAAAACAAAACAAAAACTCTTCAGAAGCAGAGGAGACCGGGAAAGATTTGTGGGAAGAGATAGCATCTAATCTGGGTTTTGATGTACCTATGAGCATTTATTTACTGGAACTGCGAAGACCTGTGTCAGAAAGGAAGGGACACAAAGTCCAAAGCACAGAGGCACGAAGTGAGTTACAGTTAGTCTGGGCTCCTAAGAAGTGGGAAGTTGTCTGACGACATATGTTTGCTAGCGTCTGACTCCTACACTGACTGAGTCCATCTTTTCAAGTTTGGCTGTTGCTAGTTTATTGCTTCATTCCTCTACACACACAGCTCTCTGCCTTTTCTCCTTTCCCACCTCGTATAATCCTCCTCCCTTCTTGCCTTCCTTTTATGGGAATTTTTTTTTTCCCTGCATTAGGCCCTGGATTTAATTTAGCTAGAGCGGACTGTAGTAATAACGTTTCTGTACATTTGCTCAGAGGCCTTCAGTTAATGGGTGCATTCTTTACAGACCAATAAACAGAAGAAGAGAGTCAGCGTGCCGTGCTGTCTTGCATGTCTGCCTCCTTTCTGTTTCCTTGCACTTTACCCATTTTCCATGAACTGGACACCCTTTTGGAAAACTACAATTTTCCTAGGTAACCCAAACGTTTCCTTGCCAGCATGGAGTGGCTTCTGCACCTGCTTGTCAGTATCTTGGAGCACCTTCCTGCTGCTGGAGAACCTGCTCTCCACCCCCAGAGATCAGCCTGTGTAGGATAGCGGCACAGGCTGCTGCCCCAGGAGTCCTTCCCCAGTGTCAGTGAGAACCTCAGAAAATTATAGCCTCGGGGCTCTGGATGGCCGGTGCTCATTTTTGACTATTGGTGCCGATCGCGATGCCGTGTACTTCAATGATAAACTGATACCGGAATAGAACAGAGGCTCACCAAATCACCGTGAGAAAAGGAACTCTGAGGTTCTCCAAACCCGAGGTTCTAAGCCTAGGCTCTGAAAACAAAATGGGAACAATGCTAGAGAAAAGGGGCCACCACAGCCTCAAGGAAGAAAAAAAAAATTCATCAGACTACTTTAAAAAGAACTGCGTTCTTGGGGCACCTGGGTGGCTCAGTGGGTTAAAGCCTCTGCCTTCGGCTCAGGTCATGGTCTCAGGGTTCTGGGATCAAGCCCCACATCGGGCTCTCTGCTTGGCGGAGAGCCTGCTTCCCTTCCTCTCTCTCTCTGCCTGCCTCTCTGCCTACTTGTGATCTCTGTCTGTCAAATAACTAAATAAAATCTTAAAAAAAAAAAAAAAAAATAAAAGAACTGCGTTCTTGAATGCCCGTAAGCCCAGCATGAACAGATGATGATGGTCTCTACTTTCCCCCCGTGCTTGTTGGATTTCCTCTACTTTCCTTCTAAGCCGCTGCTGCCTGCCTGCCCTCTCCCTGTGCCTTATACTATGAACATTCTGTTCCATTTTCACTGCCTCAACTCCAGACTCCCTCCTATGACCCCAGGAGAGCACCCCTCCTACTGCCTGGGAAGGCTTTCCTCTGCTATGGTGTTAAGCTGGGCCAGCATGTTGAGGTCATTGCTGTCCCTGCCAAATGATCGGCCTGAGTCCAGTTTGTCCATCTGTCTGAGCTTCATGGAAAACATGATTGTTGCTCTAAGCTCGCTATTATATGTCCAGCCTTAGCTCTGCTTCACATCTGGCTTTTTTTGTTTCTTTTCCCCACCCCCACCTCCCTGCCTTTTCTCTCCCTCTCATCAGACTAGAATCACATCTGTTTTTCCAGGATCTGCACTCTCACTGCAGAGCAGATGGGCGAAGAGCAAGTTCTCAGCCAGGCAGATGAGGAAGAGCTCAGTCTGGTACTCAGCTCTGTTCTAGAGACTGACCAGAATCCACATATCTCAGAGATGGGCACGTATCTGTCCTTTGGAGGAATCAAAGGTGCTATTTCCTTATTTCTTTTTTTTTTTTTAAGATTTTATTTATTTATTTGACAGAGAGAGATCACAAGTAGACAGAGAGGCAGGCAGAGAGAGAGAGAGAGAGAGAGGGAAGCAGGCTCCCTGCTGAGCAGAGAGACCGATGCGGGACTCGATCCCAGGACCCTGAGATCATGACCCGAGCCGAAGGCAGTGGCTTAACCCACTGAGCCACCCAGGCACCCATATTTCCTTATTTCTGATTATGTCCATGGCTCTCCCTTCCTCCCAACTAACTAGCTTCCTTCCTTCCTCTCTTTTCCTCCCTTTCTTCTCTTTCTTACTTTTTTTCCTTTTCTAGTCTGTACTCTACGAACATGATCTGCTCTGTCTACCTATATTTGACTCTAATGTAGCTCCTCAGGGTGATAGACAATGTAGACTCAAGGAGCTCACACGGAATGAAACTTACACCCTAGTAAATGCACAGCAGCTCAACGATCCTTCAGATTTGCATTTCTGTAATTCAAATTTATTCCCTCCAAAGTGGAGACATTTTTACCAGCCTAGCCCCTTGGTCTCAATGAATAAGAACAAATACAAAGTCTTTAAAACTCCTGGATCACAGAAAGTGTCATCTACTTATGACATGATGTGGGGGAAAGAACTGTTGGAAAATAAGGCCAGAAAAGTGAGCTTGGCTCCCAGTTTTCTTTGGGCTTCTAATGGCATTTTCTCCTGAAGATTCCAGAAACCAGGATTCTGAGCATAAATCTAAATAAAGCCAAAAGACAGAAGAAGACTAACATGTCTTCTTACAGAGCTCCTCCCCACTTCAAAAGGATTCAGATGGTACTATATTTTTCAACTTTTCCTAACAGCCAACCCTCCTCTTGGACAAAACTCATGTGGTGTCTGTGTGTGTTTGAATATGGAATGAATAGGATTCCCAGGGGTGGGGGAACCACATTCTTGAATGTGTGTGGGTCAAGAAAGAGAAAAAAGAGAGAGAGAGTAATTCAGGGATATAAAGGAATTTGTTGGTGGTGAAGAGATGAATGCTGAAGAAGACAGCGAGACAGGAGGATGGAGAAATGATTCAAACATGGAGGATGGACAGAGAAGGGCAGACTGTCCAAAGATGAAAAGGAACCCAAGGCAGGAAGGGGCTGGGGACTAGGGACTGGGGCCAGGTTGCAAGAGGGAAAAGAAGCTCATGGAAGAAAGGCTTTTGCCAGCAGAAGCCCGGCCTCCGAGGGAACAGCAGCATCACTCACTGGTGTGGTCATAACCTTTGGAATGAGGGTGTGAGTGACTGCAAAGCCCCAGCCCCCTTCTCATTCCCGCCTCATCACACTCCTCTAGCCTGGCTTTCTCTCTCTCTCTCTCTCTCTCTCTCTCTCTCTCTCTCCCTTGCTCTCCCTCATCTCATTGTTTCAGAGTAGGCCAAATTTGAAGTCCTTCCCAGGGAGTGGCCCTGTTCATCTTATTCTCCAGCTAAAGTAGAAACAGCGTGAGAAGGAGAGAGGCCCATTCGGCAGCCAAAGGACTCGGTGGACAGAGCAGAGGAAAAATACACAGTGAGTTGTTTGATTGTACAAAACCCTAGACAGACAGAGGGTGTGCGGGGTGTGTGTGTGTGTGTGTGTGTGTGTGTGTGTGTGTGTGTGTGTTGAAACTGAAAGGCTGGATGGGGGCGGTGGGGAACGTCACTGACTTAGATTGAGTGAATACCCCATTTATCCTTGGAATTCAAGACAAGACACCAAGATAAGTGGATGATATTTAAAAGCCATAGATATCAAAAAATTAGACACTGGGCGTGAAAGTAGCCACAGACTGGGGGCAACCATGCACCATCGAGAATATATAGTTTCCTCTGACTTGGCAGAAAAAAGGCATGAGAATGAGAGTAATGGTAAGTGATCAAAGAGAGAATTTGAGGGAGAAATGTTGGGTGAAAGAAAAGAGAAAAGGCTGGAGTCGCACAGGGGACCAGGGAAAGCCCTGGGCAGACAAAGAGACAGGGGCCCTCCAGGCAGCCCTGCCTGGGCCTCAGATGCTGATGTGTCCGGAACATCACAGCTTCTCCTCTCCCAACACCCCTGTCAGATATGCTGCTCTTGGGACCCAAGGTGCTGCTGTTCCTCACTGCCCTCATCATCCCCTCTGGTGAGTCCCTCCCTTCAATCTTTTCTCCCTACAATGCCAGCTCCTGAGGGGAATGTGGAGCTGGAGGTTATGGGGTGGGATGGTGACGGGGACTGGCAGCAGTCATTCTTGCTCCCAAGTTCTAGAACTAATATTGAAGAAAAGGACAGATTTGTGTCTGAAAAGCAGGGGCTGGGATGAGACCAGAGATGATCTCAGACTTGGGAAGTATCTGGAGAGTTATGAGTATAAGATCCACACAAATGCTTATTAACCCAAAAAGAGGGTCACACACACATCAATGTACCGGTCAACAGAGGAAAGAGAAGCTGACATGCCAATGTGTCTGCAAACATACGGAGACAGCTAATAAGAAACAGCTAATAAGAAACTGGACCAAATTCAGTGCGTAAAGGGGCACAGTGGGAATATATACACTCACACCTACCCACACTAGCTCCGGCACACACACATGTATTCACATGCACACAAACGTGCCAAGCTATGCGCTGAAGAAAAGCCATCACAGATGTCACAGAACAGGGCTGAAAGATTGGCCATGGAAAGTGAATCTTGGCACCTCGAAGAAATCCTGCTCTATTTCCTCATGCTGCCAGGTCCACACTGTCAGAAAATCACTTTGTGCCTTGTTCATAGTGTAGTTCGTACTATGGCTATGGGGTTAGGACAGGACACTTTAGAAAGGCTGTTAGCCCCGACTGCCGAACAGGACCTGACTCCTGCTAGGGAATGAGGGCAAGAGGGCATCCTACGTCAGGGCTTGGCAGAGCAGGGCTTTATTCTCAGGAACATATTTTTCTTGAGGGTTTCCATGTCAGCACTAATGGTCTGAGTAATTTTGTACTGAACTATACAGAAATACAATGCAGAAAAATAAAGTACAACCATTTCCCATCATTTTCTGATTCATCCTATAAAAGCTTTATGAGGTGTAGAGCTGGAGTCATTTATCCCTCTTCTCTGTCCTTTGGTACAGACTGGACACCACTAGGAGTCAATGGTCAACGAGGAGGTAGGTGAGCCTTTGGATCTGGACTCTTCTGTGTTTTTAGTATATATTTAAGGAATCTCTACCCCCAGTGTGGGTTTGAACTCAAAACCCCATGATTCAAGAGTAATATGCTCTTCCAGCTGAGTCAGCCATGTGCCCTATCTGCTGGGGATATAAGAATAATGCAGATGAATGGTCAGAGTTAAAGAATCTATAATATAACAGAGAGACACATTGCCAAAGTATGGAAAATCGGATTCAACTCACCAGTTTCCACAACCCTGTTATCCTGTTCATAAAAGTTTCTTACCTTTATTTTTTTTAAAAGATTTTATTTATTTGACAGAAAGAGACACAGCAAGAGAGGAAACACAAGCAAGGGGAGTGGGAGAGGGAGAAGCAGGCTTCCCACCCAGCAGAAAGCCTGATATAGGACTCGATCCCAGGATTTGGGATTATGACCCAAGCTGAAGGCAGATGCTTAACAACTGAGCCATCCAGGAGCCACAAATCTTCTTACTTTTTAACAACTGAAATACCTTGCCTAAATCCTCCTCTATACCCATCTCTTGTTTCTACTCTCCTATATGCACCTCTTATCTCACTGAGAAAACCCTACTAATCTTAACAGCTTTTTCCTATCCATGTAGCAACGGAGAAGCTAACATGCAGACAGAATAAAAAGTCATCTCAGTACTACAGCGAAATTCTGGCACTAATGGACAGAAACCAAAAGTTTTGGTTTCCAAGTGGCCACTTCCTCCAGCTTGATAACGGAAACTCCAATCAAACATCTCCACTCTGCCTCCAGACAGTCAACATTATTACAATTTATCTCTTACTTTTCCCAACCCCTGAGAGCACAGCAGTATGTAACCCATTAATGGACCATAAAATCAAATTAGCAGATCACAATGGGTAATTTTTAATGAATTAGTACAGACTAAAATAAAAGTGGGGTACAGGGGCACCTGGGTGGCTCAGTGGTTAAGCCTCTGCCTTTGGCTCAGGTCATGATCTCGGGGTCCTGGGATCAAGTCCCACATCGAGCTCTCTGCTCAGCAGGGAGCCTGCTTCCTCCTCTCTCTGCCTGCCTCTCTGCCTGCTTGTGAGCTCTGTCTGTCAAATAAATAAATAAAATCTTTAAAAACAAATAAATAAATAAAATAAAATAAAAGTGGGGTACATTACAAGAACATTTCGAGAGTAAGGCATTATCTTTTTAAACTTGTTTCAATTTTCTATGTGTGCAATGGGGCACAATATAATTTCTTCCTGTACATCCTGGTACAGAAGATAAAAATAAAGAAACACAACTTTTTTTTTTTTTTTAATCTGCTGCAGGTAAAGAATTCTGAATCCCAAATTTTCTGAGCCTACAGAGTTCAGCATTAGCAAAAAATTTTTGCATTCATTCTCTGGGCTGGTTAAAGTCTAGTCCTTGTCTACAAGTTTGGGATGGCTTTTCTAGTAGTCCTTGTCTACAAGTTTGGGATGGCTTTTCTAGAAGAAATATGATATGATTAAAATGCTTACTTAAGGGGCACCTGGGTGGCTCAGTAGGTTAAAGCCTCTGCCTTCCACTCGGGTCATGATCCCGGGGTCCTGGGATCGAAACCCACATCAGGCTCTCTGCTGGGCAGGAAGCTGGCTTCTCCCTCTCCCACTCCCCCTGCTTGTGTTTCTGCTCTCACTGTGTCTCTCTCTGTCAAATAAATAAATAAAATCTTTTTAAAAATTGCCTACTTGGGATTTCTTTTCAGATTAACATGAATCCTAGATAAGCATTTATGCGGTGGTAGCTCACGGGAAATGTGGATAATCTGAGGAATACACCAAAAACCAGTACTCCATCCAGAAATTCTGAGGTGACGGCAAGGACTCATTCTTAACCCCTCTGCTCACCCACCGGTTCACTTGCATATCTGTGAGTGGCTGGACTGGAATGCAGATAGAAAGGGAACTGGCGGCATTAGGCTACACCCTGGAAAGGCTCCACTCCCCTCTTAATGGTTTTTGGAAGGACTCGGACTAGTGGTTTTTCAAACGTCCTGGGGGATTGGAACAGACTTCGATTTCTTTTACCAAAATTTCATCTGAAATACGAAAGCTAATGCTGAGTGTTAACTATAAAAGGGCTCTTTTGTCAGATCTGATGACTTTCTACCTTGAATTTTTTTTAAAAAGAGGATGATGTAAGCAGCCGGGGAAATTGCTTCAGAATGCATTATTTGCGTTTTGCCTCTGCCACAGTGATCAATAGCTCTGGCATGCTTTATAAAAACGCTATTTTCTCCAGACGAAACGTAGCATTTAGATGCTGAAGTTTTAAGGAAAAAGTCAAAGCAAACTGAATTTGCTGACCCCTAGTGGGCAAACTAGATTATGACGATACGTCATCTACAAGAAAGAGTAATTATAGATGGGATATTTAAATAATTAGGTGTTAACATTGCGTTGTTATTTTGCTTTTTAAAGTTGAGACGATTTGGGGCGCCTGGGTGGCTCAGGGGGTTGGGCCTCTGCCTTCGGCTCAGGTCATGATCTCAGGGTCCTGGGATGGAGCCCTGTGTCGTGGGGCTCTTTGCTCAGCAGGGAGACTGCTTCCCCCCCGCCCCACCCCCTCCGCCAACTGCCTGCCTCTCTGCCTACTTGTGCTCTCTTTCCCTGCCAAATAAATTAATAAAATCTTTAAAAAAAAAAAAATAAAGTTGAGAGAATTTGTTTTAGGTAGCGCTGTTATTTATAGTTTCAGATACAGTTTTCTTAGCATATCCTAATAGATTCCACCTTAAGACCTGGACCATTTATTTTTTATTTTTCCTACTGCCTTTACTTTCCAATGATCAACTGCAAGGTATTCTCTACAAACACACCCTCTCTTCTCTCACTTCACTTCTCTTTGAGCATCAGAAAATCATCCACGGAGCGCCTGGGTGGCTCAGTGGGTTAAAGGCTCTGCTTTTGGCTCAGGTCATGACCGCAGGTCCCGGGATCGAGCCACGCATCTGGCTCTCTGCACAGCCGGAAGCCTGCTTCCTCCTCTCTCTCTGCCTGCCTCTCTGCCTACTTGTGATCTCTGTCCAAAAATAAATAAATAAATAAATAAATAAATAAATAAATAAATAAATAAATAAAAGAAAATCATCCACATCACCTTTAGTGAGCATACTGTATGTAAGCATATCAGCAAACTGATATCCAATTATTTCAAACCTGTAATTATCGGATCAGTGTCTTTGGTAAAGACAATTTGCACTTAAAATAAGTATTGCAAAGAGATCATCAATCCGTTGTACTTGAAACAAGCTGTATAACCTTGGGTAAATTATTTACTTGTTGGGTGCTCAAATTTTATCATCTGTAAAAACAGATTTCTTAAATAGTGCCTGGCACCTATTTAAAAATTTAATTTAATAGCTAATTTAAACCCAAATTAGCTATTACATTATTATCTGATAGGACAATGAAATATGTTATTCTTTTATTCCTAAACTTAGGGGATGCCCGTGGAGGATTATCTGATGGGCATGTAGATAAAGGAGACAAAGGGAAAAGGATATTCTGGGCTAGGACTGTATGCGTATATTCATGGAAGTGGGAAACTGACATTTGTTTGGTTTGTGGGGAAAGGACTCGGGTGGAGAAGCAAACAATGAAAAACAATTGTGGGATACTCACTGTGCATTAGCAACTGTGCTAGACAGGTTTCACTTACTGCGAGTGCAAGAATGGGAGGAGGACAGGGAATGCTCAAAAAGTGTTTTCTGGGGGCCCCTGGGTGGCTCAGTTGGTTAAGTGTGTGCCTTCAGCTCAGGTCATGGTCCTGGGGTTCTGGGATCAAGTCCTAGGAAGAGGCTCCCTGCTCAGTGAGATGTCTGCTTCTCCCTCTCCCTCTGCCCCTCCCCACTACTCATGGTTTTTTTTCTCTATCTTAAATAAATAAAATCTTTTTTTTTAAAGATTTTATTTATTTATTTGACAGAGAGAGATCACAAGTTGGCAGAGAGGCAGGCAGAAAAAGGGGGGAAGCAGGCTCCCTGCTGAGCACAGAGCCTGATGCAGGGCTCATCCCAGGACCCTGAGATTATGACCTGAGCTGAAGGCAGAGGCTTAACCCACTGAGCCACCCAAGTGCCCCTCAAATAAATAAAATCTTTTAAAATTACTTTAATTAAAAATAAACGTTTCCTGCTTTTTTTCTTTATTCAGATGATGTGACTCCAGTGACTCCAGAGACATTCACAGAAGATCCTAGTAAGCTACCCTTTTTCTTTGTTTTTATCCTGGGAACAGAAGGATTGAGGATGGTATCTGTACAATGATAAATGAGGCATAGAAAAGAGGTCAGTGGGCACTCTGAGCTCATGCAGACCCAAGTGTCTGTCTTAGATACCACTGATGTTGTGAGGATATGGTCCAGGAGCCCATATCCTTTCACTTCAATCTTTCTTGCCTCCTTTTAGATCAACCCTTTTTTCTGCTTCCCTTTCCCACTTTTTCTGCCTGTGTTTTTTAATATATATTTTTTTAAGATTTATTTATTTGATAGAGAGAGAGATCACAAGTAGGCAGAGAGACAGGCAGAGAGAGAGGGGAAGCAGGCTCACTGATGAGCGGAGAGCCCCATGCAGGACTCAGTCCCAGAACACTTGAGATCATGACCTAAGCTGAAGGCAGAGGCTTAACCCACTGAGCCACCCAGGTGCCCTGCCTGTGTGTTTTTATTCCCTGTGCTGTGTCTTTGCAGATCTGGTGAATGAGCCCTCTACAGATGAAACAGGTAAGCCTTACTACTGCTTTTAAAATGGCTTGAGTCTTGTTAATATCCACAATATATTCCAGCTTTTGAATTAGTCCTGTATTTTTGTCTAAGAATAGAGGGATTGGGGGTGTTTTGTTCAGTGACAGTGGGATAATGGGAAGGAGTCCCCCAGTCCTCTAAAAAGATGAAACAAAGTGGATGAATACCTAAAATAAGGCATGTATAATAAACTATAACGTCAGTAGGCCAAATATTTTTCAAAAAATTTCACAAATACTTCAATTAACTCTAATCCCTTGGATATAACACACAAACTCAGCCACAGCCTTGACTTTGCCCCAATACCTCCATTCTCCCTTTTTCTCAATCTTTTTTTTTTTTTTATGGGGGAGGGGCAGAGAGAAAATCTGAAGCAGGCTCCAGGCCCAGAGCAGAGCTCAAGCTGTGGTTTGATCTCAAGACCCTGAGATCATGACCTGAGCTGAAACCAAGAGTCAGACACTTAACCGACTGAGCCGCCCAGGCACCCCTCCATTCTTCCTTTTTCTCCTCTGCCTTCCCCGTTGCCAGTTCAAAGCCCTCCTCACACCTGCTGTTTTGTGCCTTTTCAGTTCTGGCTGATATCGAGCCTTCCACAGATGACCTGGGTGAGTTCAGATCGGGATCCCAGGGCCACTGGGGCCATTCTGGGCTTTCCCTAGAGCCCATTCTGGAAGGCAGTACAGCTGGTGAAGGATCCGAAATAGACGCGACTACAGTTCAATGAGCACATTCTTCCAACAGTTCAATTTAGATGAATGACATTTTTGATCCCCTAACATGCAGGGATTGTGCTCGCTGTTTGATGTACAAAACACCAATATGTGATCTTTTCCTCATAGTTTCCGAGCCTGGGTGGGTAAAGGCAAGACAAATATATAAACAGTCAATGTTTGGGAAGCTAAAGGGAAACTTCCTCGAAGTAATGGTTGAACCGATTCTTGAAAGAAGAACTGGAGCCAGCCAGACAGTCAAAGAAGGAACAGTATGTTCCAAGATTTGAACACAAAATAGAGCTTGGCACAATGAGGAAACATTTTTTTTTTTTAACGATTAGGGCAAAACCTACAAGAAACAAGGGGTAGGATGTGGGAAAAGGAGACAGAAACTAGATTTTAAAGAAATAGTTATTGCAAACCTACTACTGAGTACCAGGAATGTAAAGATGAACAAAACTGATTTCCTTTTACTTGGTATTTTTTTTGTCTACTACACAAGATAAACAAATGGGTAACTTACTTTAATTTCATAAAATGCCATAATCAGGATAAGCAACAGAAGGAATAGATGACTAAGAGAGTCCTCGAGTATAGTCAGTTCCGGGGCTTAGGAAAGGGTTCTGTGGAGGACACACTGATTAAGTGGCTTCTTGAATGACAACTGGAAGTGAGTTGAGTAATTAGGGAGAAGAGCTCTGGGGTGAAGGAAACACGATGCAAGAAAGGCTTAGGATGGAACTAAAAACCCATCAGAATAGTTTTAGACAAAGAAAGATTCCCATCAGATTTGTGAATTGGAAATCCAGCCAGGATGCTATTACACTAGTCCCAATAAAAGATGATGGCCTGAACTCACTGAGGTGGAGGCAGGGAGAATTAAGTGTGAGCTATGATAGGGGACTGTTGAGATGATGTCCAGTGTCCTGTTGGGTAGATGGTGGGACCATTCACTGAAGAGCATGTTGAATTGGTGAAGGGGAAGTAGGACAGTTTAAGACATGTTAGATTTGAAGGATCTTTGAAAAATCGACAAACTCTTCCATAAAATGGCAGGTGGCTTTATAGGCCGAGAGCTTGGAAGAGATCTGGGCTGGAAGTAGAAGTCTGAGAATTCTCAGCATGTAAGTCTGCCATTGAAACCAGGGCATAGAAGAGATCATGTAGCATTCTTCCCATAGTATTCTATCTACCAGCAACTCTTCCAATGGCATTTTGACACATAAATCCCATGGTTAGTGTCTTCCCAAGACTCATCTTACTCCTATTATTCATTCTACAAGTTAGGCCTGTATTTAACTTGACCTTAGATTAGGTTTGGCTATGGCTGTGACCTTTGCTATTCTTTGCTGAATAACTTTTATCTGAGAACCCACGATGATGCATTTGATTTACAGAGAAGAAATTTTCTTTTATGAGTAAGAGCTTCTACAGGGTAACAATCTTTTCTCTCCTTAGCTGTAGGATGAAGCTCTTCTGGGCATAGGGATCCTTGCCTGATATCTCCACTAAATGTGATTTTGATCAACTAAACAAAGATACATTTTCAATTCTAGAAGAGGAGAAAGGCAAAATCAGATTTCCCATCCTAACTTCTAAATCTCTCCCGTTTTGTGGAACAGAATAGCCCACTGTGGGTTTTCTGTTAGAAGTTGCTAAAAGCATTATCAACTCCTTTGGCTTTTTATTTATAAGTGAGGTAACATGACAGTTACAGAAGTAGTGTCTTCTAGAACTGGTAATAACTGAGTAAAATTTCTGCCTTCCAGCTTCTCCTGCTGATAAAAATACCACAACAGGTATGAATGTATTTTGCACGTCTTTTTCTTCAGCTTTCTTCTCAGGGATTCATACCTCCTTGCTCTTTGGAGGATACTTGATATACCTTCTAGCTTGCTTCCAGTTCTTTCTCAAGGAGTATTTTTAGTGCCCTTCATTCCTACTTTTTTTTTTTTTTTTTAAATGAGGTCTTATCCTCAAGCTCATGGGGAAAAGATGGGACCATTGTTGGATGGTCCTGAAAGATTCCTATTCCTAAGCTGCCTTTGGACTTTCCGTGGTGGTTAATGAGTTAGGAAGTGACAGCAAGGACTCAGTATTACTCTGGTTGTCATGGCCAAAGTTGCTCTCTCTATTGTACTGATGATTCTGATGTGCATCTAGGATTGGAAACTACTAAAACAGAAACTGTGGCCCACCTAAGAATTCTGATTCTTTAGAATGGGGTTAAAAGCTTCTCAATTTATATTTCATATGGCCACCTGGATAACCCTAGAAAGACTTTCCTAGAAGAACCCTGAGATTATTTTATCTACTTTTGCTTCTAGGTAGGAAAGCACCTAAATTTTATTTCAGCCAATTTTCTACCATTCTCTTTTGGTCAACAGGGAGGGCATTCCCCCAACTTGTAATAATCCTGTGTAGAGATCACTTTGTATTTTTTCCCCCCATTCTGTCTACCTTCTTCCGTCTCTTGAATCTTTTGTGGATCCCTGTTTTCTCTGCTGGACTTCCTCAGACTGCCGGGATGAAAAATTTGCTTGCACGAGACTCTACTCTGTGCATCGGCCAGTCAAGCAATGCATTCATCAGTTATGTTTCACAAGGTAAGGGGTCCCAGGACAGGTAGAAAGCATCATCCATGGTAGTGGTTTCATGTCCGTAACTGCTTAATGAACACCCACTCTGGGATTTCAGTTTTTGGTGGCACAGGAGTTTTTAACATGATCCTTAGCTATTCCCGCTGGTGCCAGATAGAACCCGGACTCTGAACTGAGGTATATGGAGAACAGACTGACCAGTAAGACTAGATGCTAGAAGGCTAGTGAGATGAGAGCTGGGGAAAAGATAGTCATGAGAGAAGTACTGGTACAGTGAAATCTAGTACCTGACGGAAAAAGGCTGAAGCGAAAGATCCAATAGCGGGGAGGAGTATTCAACTTAACTCTAGGTGGGAGTGTGCAAAGTATCACTAAGAAGAATAATTAATACCATTCCATCCCCTGCACTCCTCTGGGAGGGAAGAAAAAGCAGTCCAGAAAAATTAAGGAAATCCAGAGTGGAGGAGAACGGTTAGGGAGAGTGGGGAATACAGAAGTTGAGCAGTCAACCTTGGCCTAGGCTAGTTCTCCCTCCCTATGCTCTTTTCTATCTACTTTCCTAACCATTTTACTGGGACTCTGGCAGTTTACGACGTATGTACATCATCAACAATGAGATCTGCTCTCGTCTTGTCTGTAAAGAACACGAAGTTATGAAAGGTAAGATGATGGCTGGGTGTCAGTGGGAGGGGCAGTTATAAGAGAGAGGAGTAGAAACATGGTCCTAATGGTTCCAAGGTCTGGCTTCTGAGGAGGGCTTTAGGCCACCTCCTTAACCCCCAACAACCCCTGGTTTGCCAAGTTATGCTAAATAAGCAATCTAAGTAAAGAAGTATGCTTAATATATAAGAAAACGGTGCTTGGGTCTCTTTCCAGCTAGGCTGTAACCCCCACCTTCTCCTATACATAGAGCTTTCTGAAGCTCTAGCTGCTTTGAAGCTCACTGGGGTTCTAGGTGAAAAGCACAAGTCAGGGCAGCTGGCTGGCTCAGTCTGGAGAGCATGCAACTCTTGATCTTAGGGTCATGAGTTTGAGCCACTCATTAGCTATAGAGATTACCAAAAAAAAAAAAAAAAAAAAAAAAAATCTACTAATTTGGAGACACTGATGTTTGTATAGAGCCTATAAGTAAATAATAATTAAAAAAAACCAGATTGGACATTTAGAAGTTGGCAACATTTTAAACAGTCTGCCAATTCCAAGAACCATTGAAATTACTTATTGTGAAAATTTAGAAGTAAATGAGGGTAAAACAACTTTAAAAAAGAAAAACAAGATTACAAGGGTCCAAAGTGTGTGGTTATAAACCTTGCATTGTGGGAATAAAGATACTTCTAACCTTCCCTATGGCCAGCCCCAAACGATAAGTGTGGTTGGTGAAGGCACCACAGACACAGGCCCTTCTGACTCAGCAGCCCATCCTGCACTGAGCTTCTGAGTAAGAGCTGTAGTTAACTTCGCAGAAGGAAACTTGCTACTTGCCCCCATTGGCCTTGTGCAAGCACCTGCAAGGGAAGCACCTTGAGACTGAGGATGAGTACTTTGGACTCTAGGCACTTTCAAATGTCTCAGGGGACTTACTAAAATTAGCTATTTGCACGTAGTAAACAGATAGATAGTCAATGATTGAATCTCATGGTTTTTGCTATTAATAAATCCATGATTATAAGAACTGGGAGCTAGGCATCCAGAGGAACCTAAAATTTACCTGCCACCTGGGCTAGGTACTTTGCACATATTATTTCATTTTAATACTCACAACTACACTGTGGAGGCTGGTATTTCATGCTTATTATCCTGGAAGGGATAGTGTGGTTCAGCAAAGTTAAGGAACTTTCTAGTAAGTAATAAATAACAGTAAGCTGCACATCTGGGGTTGTAGCCCAGATCTAGTTCTCTTCAGTCTTTCACTACAGCATCCTACAGTCCTCTATCTCTTAACATGGAAGCCCTTGTTACCTTTTTTGCATTCCCAACCCATTATGCTCTGCTTCTCTTCTAGATGAACTTTGCCGTCAGATGGCTGGTTTACCCCCAAGACGACTCCGTCGCTCCCACTACTTCCGACTTCCACCCTGTGAAAATGTGAATTTGCAGAGACCCAGCGGTCTGTGATCACAAAGGAAGAGGAAAGAATAATGTGTGGGTGGGAGGAAGAGAATGCCCTAACAAGAGGGAACTCCTTCTTGTCCAACCATTGTCCGCTAACCCATAGACATTAGTATTTCTTAAACCAATCCTTTTGCAGTGCCTAGCTTTTGCCTCCATTCCCTGACTGATAACAAAGTCTGTATTATTGCATGGTTTTGCTGTTTCTCAATATCATAGACGTAGATTAATGATAACCATGTGGCTTATATACAAACATCCTATACACAATTTCAAAGGAAAATAAACTTTAGGTTAATATTGACCGTTGAATCTGTCTGAACTAGATCTTAGGGAGGAAGAAGCTGTTGCTGTCAATTTTGGCTGGCCATAGAACTCCTTTTTTTTTTTTTTTACATTTTCAAGAGCTTCCTAGATTAACATGTCATTCATTTACATAGTCTTTTTTACTCTTATTTTAACTATTTTGTTGGATTTGCCTGCTCCGATTTTTCAGAAGAGTCATGGTAATTTTTGTAGTCCTAGAGAATTCTCCAGAACACAGAGCTACACAATCCTACTGGCAACACATAAAAAGACCCAAGATGAGGTCTGCTGCGTTCAGAGGCCAAGGATAAAGAGAAAGGAGTAAGCTATGTATGGAACTGGGACTCATGGTTCCCTGTTCACTTTTTCATGTAGTTGTCCAACTGGCAGATAGGGATACAAAGTCCCATTTACTTGTTTTTGGTCATATGGGGGTTAGCCCACCGTCTCAAATTAGACAATTTAATGTGAAATCATTTCTGAGTTTGGTCAGGGTTTTCCTTTTGTTGCTACTTCTTTCATCATCATCACTAAACAAAATCTGTAGAAATTACCATGCAAATGGACTCCAGAATAACCTGATTTGGTGCTTAAGAAGAGCATTCAGACTTAAATTTTAATAGGCAGGCCAAGTTTGCCAAATGGTTTATAAGAAAGAGTAAAACACAATATTCACACAACCTACATTTTTATGTTGGCTCTAGTAGTAACCTGGTAAACCAGTAAACTAGGTTTAATTTCCCATCTTTAATATGACAAGGTTAGATTTATGTTGATTCTAAGGTATCTTTTCGTTCTGTGATTCTCAAGATTTAAGCGTATTATTCGTATTTCTTGAAGCCTAGATGCAGTCTAATTCATAACCACCATGTCTGCTTATAAGAGGAGAAATTTCATGTTAAGACAGCAGTCCACAACATAACAGAAAAAAAATCCTATTGTAGGTTACTGATTACACACTGTAGATGCTTCTATTTGAATAACTTAATAACCTTCCAAAGAAGCCCACAAAAATCAATGGAAATAAGAGACTTTGAGGCAAGTTACACACTCAGAATTCCTCTCTGCTTGGTAGGGTTGAATTCTTTTCCTCTTGAAAGAAAACTATGTAAATGAGCATCAGATTTTGCTATTAAGAAACAATTTAGTTTAATAGGATTTGCACAACTGATTAAAGAGAAATGCTAGGAAAAGACCCAAAGCGTGTAATCTCCGCTCTATAGCCTCTAAAAGTAAATATCCTCATATATAAATAGATTTATTAAGTGGATATTATACCCACTGTAGAGAAATCTCAACAGGCACAGAATTTCCAAGAATGATTTAAGAATCTCACCATGAACATGACCCTCCTACCGTATATTGAATGAGGTGGCATTCCCACCACAAATCATCTCAGTCCCAGTATTGTGTATATTGCAAATTAAACATTTTAAAATAAAATTTTCTTTATTCCTTTTCTGGATGAGTGGTTTTTTATCTGTTTGTTTCTTTTTCTCATATGTTTAGAATGACAGGAATTTGTGCCTCTTTTTTTTTTTAAGATTTTATTTATTTAGGTGCCTTGTTGGCACAGTAGGTAGTGCTTCAGTCTCAAAGATTTTATTTATTTATATGTTTATTTATTTGAAAGAGAGAGAATGAGAGAGAGAGAGAGAGAAAGAGGATGAGAGGGGAGAGGTCAGAGGGAGAAGCAGACTCCCCGCTGAGCAGGGAGCCCAATGCTGGACTTGATCCTGGGACTCCAGAATCATGACCTGAGTCGAAGGCAGATGCTTAACCAACTGAGCCACCCAGGCGCTCCACGAATTTGTGATTTTTAAAAATTTTTTTAAAGGTTTTATTTATTTATTTATTTAACAGAGAGAGAGAGAGATCACAAGTAGGCAGATAGGCGGCGGGGGAGGGGGGGAGCAGGTTCCTCGCTGAGCAGAGAGCCCAATGCAGGGCTTGATCCCAGGATTCTGAGATCATGACCTGAGCTGAAGGCAGAGGCTTAACCCACTGAGCCACCCAGGCACGCTGCTTTTTTAATTTTTTAAAAAATTTTTTCTTGGGGTGCCTGGGTGGCTCAGTCATTAAGCGTCTGCTTTCGGTTCAGGTCATGATGCCAGAGTCCTGGGATGGAGCCCCACACCAGGCTCCCTGCTCAGCGGGAAACCTGATTCTCCCTCTCTTACTCCTGCAGCTTAGGTTCCCTCTCACATTTTGTCTCTCTCTGTCAAATAAATAAATAAAATCTTTAAAAAACAAAAAACCTTTAAAAAACTATTTTTTATTTTTCAAGATTTATTCATTTATTTGAGAGGGAGAGAGAGTGCATGAGTGGGGCGGAGTGGGGGCAGCAGAGGGAGAGGAGCAAGCTAAGCTCAGAGCTGGATCCTACGACACTGAGATCACAGCCTGAATGAAATCAAGAGTCCATCCTCAACAGACGAAGCCACTCAGGCGCCCCAAGTTTTTTTTTTTTTTTTTAATTTATTTACTTTAGAGAGAGAGCATGCAGAGTGGGGAGGAGCAGAGGGAGAGAAAATCGCAAGCTAACTCTGCGCTGAGTGAAGAGCCCGACTCGGGGCTCCATCTCAAAACCCAGATATCATGACTGGGGCCAAAAACAAAGTAGGCGTCTTAACCAACTGCACCACTCAGGTGCTTCCTCCCCCCCACCCCCCACCCCCACACCAATTTATGCTTTTATACCTCTTTGCAAAAGGAGCACCAGCTTTGCTCTATCCCACTATTCTCTATTGTAACCTTCCTCACTGCACAATTTTGCCATCAGTTCTCCAACACACCACATTTACTCTCCTCCCGGAAATTCCTCAATTCATCAGAAAATTATTTTTCTTTTTTACCCCCTTTGGAACCAACAGTCTAGCTAGGTAAAGCTTCATGATTTACCCTTGCTTCTCTTCTACTTGATCATTTTCCAGTGTTTTCCCATTTCTCGTTCTTAGGTTCTCTACCCTTTTTATTCTTGATATGTAAACCAACATTTCTAATTTGCTTCCCATTCTTTCCTTATGCTTCTAAATTCTTATTTTCCACCACAACTTTCCCGTGCGAACAGTTCCAGATCAGTTTCAAGAGGTTGATTTGGTCCTGGTGTTTTTGTTTTTGTTTTTCAGCTTTATTTATTTTAGAAAGAGGGTGGCGAGGCAGTGGAGGGAAGGGCAGAGGGAGAGAATCCCAAGCTAACTCCCTGGTGGGCCTGCAGCCCAATGGGGGGCTAGGCTGGGGTGAAGGGACAGCGTACATCTCACGACCTATGTGGAAACCAAGAGTGAGTCACTCAACGGACTGAGCCACCCAGGAGCCCCACCCCTGTTCTTTCCATCTTTTAATTTTTTTAAAGATTTTTATTTATTTATTTATTCGACAGAGAGAGAGAGATCACAAGTAGGCAGAGAGGCTGGCAGGAGAGAGGGGGAAGCAGGCTCCCCACTGAGCAGAGAGCCCAATGCAGAGCTCAATCCCAGGACCCTGAGATCATGATCCGAGCTGAAGGCAGAGGCTTAACCCACTGAGCCACCCAGGCGCCTCCTTTACCTCTTTTTAAAAAAGATTTTATTTGTTTAAGAGAGAGCGTGAGAGAGTACGTGTGAACATGCGAGGGTCAGAGGGAAAAGCAGACACCCTGCTAAGCGGGGAGCCCCACATGGGGCTCAATCTCAGGACCCTGGATCATGACCTGAACAGAAGGCAGATACTTAACCAACCAAGCCACCCAGGTGCCCCCTTTCCCTCTGTATTCTTGCCCCTGTTTTCTTTTTTTTTTTTCAAGATTTCACTTATTTATTTGACGGAGAGAGATCACAAGTAGGCAGAGAGGCAGGCAGAGAGAGAGAGGAAGGGAAGCAGGCTCCCTGCTGAGCAGAGAGCCGGATACAGGGCTCGATCCCAGGACTCTGAGACCACGACCTGAGCCGAAGGCAGAGGCCTAACCCACTAAGCCACCCAGGCACCCCTTGCCCACTGTTTTTTACCTTCACCCCATTTCTGATGTTCTAGTTTTCATTCCTTGTTCCTCCCATGAAAGGATTTGAAAACCTTTTACTCTTTTAGGTGTTAATATTATCCATTTTCTGGTGAACACCAATGACAACCCTCTTCAGTGAGGAATTTATATATATATATTTTTTTTTTTTTAAAGATTTTATTTATTTATTTGACAGAGATCACAAGTAGTCAGAGAGGCAGGCAGAGAGAGAGAGAGAAAGCAGGCTCCCTGCTGAGCAGAGAGCCCGATGCGGGGCTCGATCCCAGGACCCTGGGATCATGACCTGAGCCGAAGGCAGAGGCTTTAACCCTCTGAGCCACCCAGGCGCCCCGAGAAATTTATATTTTGATGAAAAATAATTACTTGAATCAAAACAGTGCATCTTTAATCTTGGAATTAAAGGATTTGGTCAAAGTATCTTTAGGCAGGAGTGCCTCAGTGGCTCAGTTGGTAAGCATATACCTTCGGCTCACCTTTGGCTCTGGCCATGATCCTAGAGTCCTGGGATCAGAGACCCTGGGATCAGTTCTGGGCTCCTGGCCCAGAAACAGATCTCATTGTTGTAGGATTCAGAAGCTTCTCCCATTCTCCATGCCCCTCCCCCTGCTCATGCTCTCTCTCGCTCACTCTCTTTCAAATAAATAAATAAAATCTTAAAAAAAAAAAAAAAAGAATGTATCTTTAGGCAATTTTTGGAATTGAATCCCTTCCTGGTACCTTGAAAGATGACAGCTTCGTCTGCCTAGCCGGGAGGTTTACTCCCGTTTTCTCTTCTAAAATTGAGCTGATTCTGCTCTGAGCCTAACTTTTTCCACACTGCATGCTTATGAAAATTCTCCTTTCTCCTTGAACGGGAAATTCAAGTGTGCACTCTACTCTAAATATAGTTCTATGCATACTTTCTCTAAGTATTCTTTTGACTCTCAGGCAGATGGTGCAAACCCCAGCTGGTCTCCCGACTTCTGGGCCTTGCTTTTGATGACATCAAGAAGTGGA